TACATCTTTTATTCGAACAGTCAATCATAATTGCTCACACAGACAGGGGCGGAGCCAGGATGCGATTGAGAGGGGGGCCGGGGTGAAATAAAAAATAAAAACATATAAAATAAAAATACAATAAATATTAAATAATGTATTGATATTCATTTAAAACATTCAAAAACACATGATTAAACGTGATGTGAGTTAAAACGTCGCTCTTACATGCCACAAAAATATGCAGACTCTAAAATAAATTCGTATAATATTTCATTAAATTTTAATTAGTAGATACTAGATAATATCCCAACACTGCTAATAATAGGTTGCAGTTTTGTAAAATAATATTCAAAATTTTTAATTGAATCAAGAATAATTTAGAACCCAACTATTCTAAAATAATATCCCAAACCTGTTTTTCTTGATAATACAGTCAAGAAATAATAAGGAAGTAGTGATGCACTACTCTACTTGATGCTACGTAGTAGTGATGCACAGCTGCACACTTACGGACTAAGTAATGCTCCGTAATAAAGAATAACAGGTTGGGGGCAAAAATAAAAACCTAACTATACTCCTAATTAAAAAATGAAAAGTTGGGAGGGGCCATGCCCCCCTTGGCTTTGGCTATAGCTCCGTCCCTGCACACAGACAATTAAAAATGACCACACAGTCAACTATTTCCTTTAAGCAGGATAACGAATGTGTGCGCGATAAAAAGCTATTTGAAAAATCTATAATTTAGCCACATAAATTTGTCCATGCAAAGAAATTTATTATCTATGCAAAAAAACACACACAAAGCTTGAATTGCAAGCCAACATGACTTGCACGTTTGTCATGAAAACTAATGTCTATGAGCACATATATGAATTATTTGTGTATAAATAGCCTTTGTTTAGCCCTAGCACCCTTTGTCATCATGAGCGTAGCCGCATTGGAAAACAGCGGGGACTCAACCCAAGCCTGGGTCCAACACTTCAAACAAATTCGTGTGTCACAAAGAGGTAGTCGTTTTGAGAGTCGGTCACCACAATAAACCGTAGTAGGCAACCATCTTTTTCCTCAATCGACAGTCACACAATGATGATAATCCGCAGCCGTCATTAACTTCTATTTTGAAAGGTAACGTGACATCCGTTCTCAGAGATTCTTAATTAGCATGAGTATGACTCACCTTTAATTTATTGTTCTTCTTTTGTTGTTGTGTTTGTTATGTTCTATGTTGGTTCTTACCCATGCGTTGACACTCTGGTGTGTTTTGTCTCCCTCAGTGTGGGGAGTTACTTTGGTGTCTCGATTAGCTTCGCCTAGTCAGGGGTTTCTATATGTCTTCTTTTGGATTGCGTAGAGAATGATAGAGGCATAAAGATTATTTTTGACTCCACCTATTTTTAGTTCTATCCAGAACAAAGTAAGAAGAAAAATTTAATATCTACTCATATTGCAGCAACTCATCCTCTTATGGGACCACCTCCATCAGGGGTGGAGACACGGAGGGTCTGGAGGGGGCAGGGCCTCGACCCCTACAAGAAAAAAAAATCTTAAGTATATATTATGTATAAATATTTTTAATCTATAGAAAATATGTTGATATTTTAAACTTTGGCCCCTGCAATGTAAAATTTTTAAGGACCGACCCCCTTTATCATAGATTTCTGGCTCCGCCACTGACCTCCATGTCAGGAAGAGTTTTGTCTGAATACTCCAATGTTATTTTTTCTTTAGCAGTGTATTGAGGTTTATTTCTTCAACTCCAAAGGCCCAACACCTTCCTTTGGGTTTCGTATGGAATGTCTTAGTGGGTTAAGTAGAATATATGGCACAAACAATAAATGGATGAGCAAATAAAGTGTTTAGTAAATGGGCCGTATCTTATTACTCAATAATCAGGGTCTGTTACAGGACACTCTACTACAGCCTGTTAGGCCGATCGTCTAATATGATCTAGGAAAGCATGGAATAAGAGGGGATAATTGCTATTGCTAAAGAATACAAACTGCCAACCGCTAACTATGAAATAAATGCTAATATTATTTATACTATCAAGGAGTAAGTGGAGTGATAATGTGGAGGTTCTTGAGTGGCTAGCTTCTCAATCACCAAATCTACTGCATTAAATACGTTTCCCGTCAATATCTTGCTTTCTTGCCAAGGGGCCTAGACGAGCGTAAGGACAGAGCTCCACTCGGTCTATGCTGGTTGTTCTCCTCGAGGCTCTTGGGTCATCACCTGGTTCTATTTGGCTGGCTTCCTTGCTGGGCCGCTCCAAAGTTGGGCCTTGATGGTTTCCTTGCTAAGGGGTAATGAGCCGCTCCTCTATTGGACCTATTAACCCAACATAGTGTTTGGTTTTATTTTAGTTCGAATAGATTTGGTTTAGATATTTGGATAAACATTTTTTTTGTTCTGATCGTTTTAGGTTTATCTGTCTTGCAAATGGTAGGCCCGGGACTCGGAACCGTAAAACTGTGAAAACCGATCCGAACCGAATTTTCCGGTTCGATTCGGTTCCTATAATTTTGGACTTCATCTTTTTTCAGTTCGTTTCCTATAGTATATGATCGGTTCGGTTCCGGTTCCGTTCCAGTTCGGTTCCGGTTCCTAGACAGGAACCGAACTTCTTATACATTGCATGAGTAATCTTCATTTGAGGTGCTTCTGGATGGAATTTTTTGATAAAATTTTGTGAGCTTGTTTTAATGAAATTATAAGCTGAAATTTGGTGGATATAATCTACACTTCATGAAGAACATGATCACAAAATATCACCAAACAATTCTACCCGGAAGCACCTCAAATGGAGGTCGTTAGACGACGTTTCGGGCAGAAAATTCTTGTCAGGAATGTTTCTCTTGCATAATATACCTTATATATTGTGGACCACGTCAATTCGAGTAATTGTTATTTTACTACTTTAGTCCATTTTTATATTTATTATTTGTTTGTGATTGTATTTGTTGTTTGTGTTCTCAATAAGAAAATAATATTCCGCTGATTACGTTGTTATTTGTTCATAGTAATTTACAAATATTACTGGTCAGTTTATTACTACGTAACTTTTACTTATGATGCATTACTAGTAGAAGAATATTATTTTGATGTTGAACTACCTGCTATTGGATGTGTACCTTGAAGCTATTAAACCTTTTTGCTTGATAGTTGATGCCTATTTTAAACCTTGATGTTTTTGTTGTGTTTAAACTTAATGTTTGCACTTGGATATTTTTGTGATATTTGAACATTGGAATATCATGTATGTATAATATAATGGTCATAATTTCATCATTTGAAATTTGAATTTTTGTGTGTAACCGAAGGTAAAATGTGTTCATTTTAGGAGGATAATAAATTTTTATCAGGAACCGAAAAAATGTAAGAACCAAACCGAATTTAACAACTACATTTTAAACTAGAACCGAACCGAATTTAGCTCCTATAATTTTTAATACGGTTCCATCGAATTTTAACAAGAACCAAACCGATCCCAGGCCTAGCAAATGGAGTTTTTTGGAGGTGGATGACTATGTCTATTTCTAAAACTTATGACTATGTCTATTTCTAAAACTTATTAGGAAAAATTCACATAAATAATTCGAACTATTAGTGATCTTCTCATATTAATCCCAAATATTGATAATTCTAATATAATCCCTAATTCAATGGCAGTCTTCTCAGCTTGATCCAATTTACCCGTGACCTATTCAGCCGCTAAAAACGAAAAGAAAAAGAAATTAATTAAAGCAAAAACAAACACAAAAGTGAACACAAACGAAGAACACTGTTCGTCTTCTTGCTTTTGCACCTGAAATGAAAATGGGAAAACACTCCGCAAGCTAGGCAGCACCGACGAAAACCACCACACTTACCTTCCTCTTCAGATCACTCTTCTTCTAAGAAGATGACTGAACATCCGCCACCGCCGCTACTATACATCGGTCCTCCTTCGCCTCCTCCCCAGACCCCAATAGATACCATGCTTGCACCAATGCACTTCACCGCACATACACATTATGTGTGTATGTATATACTCCGTATTTGATTATTTACATTATTTATATCAGTACATACGTAGTAAGTCCTAGGCCATAAACTAATTGAACTGTTTTTGGATGGAAAAAGATTTTTGAAGAAGATGAAGCTTACCAGATTGGGGATGGTGGAGATGTGGTAGTGTCGTAGATGGTATGAGAAATAGAACGGATGAGAAGAACTGAAGAGATGACCTTAGGGAAAAGGAACGCCGCTCGATCGCGAAAGGGACGGTATTGCTCGGTGCTCATGCCATTCCTCTTACCGTTAGGTCATTTCTTCTCCGGTGTCTTGAATTGCTAGGTGACCATGGTTGAAAAAAAATAAAGAAAGAAAATATAAAAGAAAAAACAAAAATATATTCAAACCAATAAAAAATATTACATGTGTCAGAGTGACCTGCTTATTAGGTTGATGCAGGTCGTCGGGTTGTTTTGAGAAGATGCCCCTAATAGTTTAGATTATAATAGAATTATCAATATTTGGGATTAATATTGAAAGACTGTTAATAGTTCGGATTATTTATGTGAATTCTTCCTATTTATTAACAAACAGTTCTTGATGATCAAAAAAACAAACAGTTCTTTATATTAGTGCATCAATCAACTATGACAAGCGTGTACATAAGCCCAAGCAGCCTTTTTCTATGGACGAATCAGCTAGTGGGCTTGGCATGTGGCAACGGCTAGTAGGCATCATCCGGTAATGAGAAGTTAGAAGGCGGTGTAAATTGTCAGCCTAAGTGCTGCAACGGCTATTTTCGATTTGAATCTTTTAAATCTCTAATATCCTCTTATGCCCTTGCATCATTCCGATTACTAATTAAGTAATCGTGGAATAAAAATGCCCATTTTTCAAAAGAAAATAAATGCTGCTTGCGCTTACTTTTGTGCTTATACAAAATAAATAAATGACATGATTATATTATTTAGGGAAATTAATTAATATAAATAAGGACTATATATTTGCACTTTTCAAAATTCACTTACCAATCTCTCTCTCTTGTTTCGGAGTCTCAATTCTCTCCCTATCTTCTTCAAACTCGCAAGAAAACCTTGAATTCTTCCTGAAATCACAGGCAAGAGAAACATTGAGGAGGCTGCGTGAATGGGGCGGACTCCATCTTCGAAATCAACCCCGATCCATTTTGGGAATTCAAGAACTCCCCACTGTCCTCAGTCGAAACACCGCCTTATCTTCAACACCGCCAGGCCATCCCCGAACCCCAACCATGCTGGGAAAGAGGCCGAACCACCTGAACACCCAGTTGAAGTCGTCGGTCGGATCCGAGACTACCCAGATAGGAAAGATAGACCCTTTTCCGCCTTGCATCTCAACCCGGATCAGCAGTCTTTGAGAGTGAAGACTGACATTGGGTACAGAGATTTTCGCCTCGATGGGGTGTCTTTATCTGAGGAAGAGGACTTGGATAAGTTTTATAAGAAGTTCATTCAGTCCAGGATCAAAGGTGTAAAATGTGGTGAGAAATGCACTATTATGATGTACGGGCCTACAGGATCAGGAAAGAGCCACACAATGTTTGGTTGTTCGAGGCAGCCCGGGATTGTCTACAGGTCGTTGAAGGATATATTGGGAGATGGGGATGAAGTGAGTGAGGAGAGAGCTGGTGGGGGTACTTTTGTTCAGGTCACTGTATTGGAAATATACAATGAGGAGATTTATGATCTGCTCTCATCAACTACTACTGGTGGAGGGTTTGCTTTTGGTTGGTCTAAAGGCAGTGCATCCAAGGTAGCAAACTACCCCGTACTTTTCATATGGATTTCCGCATCTTTATATATCTTGTAAGAGGCCAAATGCTCAAAGCCATACATTTATTTGTTTATTTATCTGGTTTTATGAATTTGCTTGTAAGAAGTTTTGTTTTTCACCATATGCATGCACAACTGAAGAACATGTGTTAATACTAATTATATCATTCGAGGTATTCTGAGGTTCCTGAAAAGCTATGTTGCACACGGGAACCATGGGGAAATGGAAGCCTCATATTTTTATAGAAAAACAACTTTTTGGAGAGTTTAGAGGAAGAGTTTATGTAGAGTTTCCGAAAATGAAACGTACTCTTTACTAAAACTTTCGGTGCTACATAAGCTTAACGTATCTGTAAAAACTGGAAATCACCATAATATCTGGCTTAAAACCAGAATGAGAAAGATACAATCTTGTCTTGTGCTTCAAAGAGCTAAGTCTGCTGTAGTTAACAGGGATTAGTGAATGTTACAATCAATTTGTTTGGCATACTAATTCAAACAGTGATCAATGTTATTGCATATTTTATTAGAAGTTTGTCAAAGTTTTGTTTAGCTATATCTATTGTTTTATCACTTTTATGGAAGACTGGGAGGGGGGTTATTGAATTATTTCTTCCTGTTAAGCTTTGTATGTGTTTAAGCATACATAATGTTGGTGATTGATATAGTTGATGTAATTAGGTGACGGATAATGCTAGTTTTGTGTTCTCCGGATTAAGAAGGGTAAACATGAATGGTGGTATTGCATTGACAGGTGAGGTTGGAAGTGTTTGGAAAGAAGGTGAAAAATGCAAATTCTATTTCTGGGAATGAAGCAGAAAAGATATCAAAGGAGATACATAATGTCGAAAAACGGAGGATCGTGAAGAGCACACTTTGTAATGAGAGAAGCTCCCGAAGCCACTGTCTGGTACTTTTTTGAAGAGTCAATCTGTTAGGAACTCTGTTGAGCATTCTGGTTACATTTCAGACATAACTTTCTTGTGTTTCTTTATTATTAGATAATTCTCGATGTCCCAACCGTTGGAGGGAGGCTTATGCTTGTTGACATGGCAGGTTCTGAAAACATAGAACAGGCTGGCCAAAATGGTCTGGAAGCAAAGATGCAGGTACTCATGCTTTCTGTATTTTCATGAGCAAATAGTGTCTTGTGTCTTTTGCTATTGCCTATGCGGATGAGCTTATTATATGTTTCAGTAGTTTATGCCTTTTTAAAGATGAGGTTTCAGCTTATATCAAAGTAAGGTGAAAGAATTATAAAGTCTTAATTTGTTAGCTGAAATGAAAGCCCCATAGAAGCAGTCTTGATGAGATTATTGGACGTGCATCCTAATTTGGGATGACTTTTGAAATAGATAAAAGAACTTCAGAAAATTAAACCGCATTATTCTAAAGGGATTTTACTGCATTGGTATTCATTATTCTAAAGGGATATCCTCATAGAGGAATACAAACAAGATAAAAGATACTCCGTAATAAAAAACAAATATTCGCAATATCTAACTCATCAAGCCCAAACTCTTAGGGGAGTAAGACTTGAATGTTGTTGTATCTGACTTAATCATGATTTACTGATAGAATCTTCCATGGAAAAACTGATGTCAGTGCGTGCATGGATCCTCTTGATGATTTATCATTATAATGAGTGATTGAATGATTGAATCCCTAATTGCATTCCTTTTATAGAGGTCTTAATGTATATGTACACCATACTTACTTGAGGCCAGATATATTTGTTTTATATGAACCATATTGTTCTATCTTTGAAAATGCAGACAGCAAAAATTAATCAAGGAAACATTGCTCTCAAAAGGGTTGTTGAATCCATTGCAAATGGGGATTCTCATGTTCCATTCAGAGATAGCAAGTTGACCATGCTCCTGCAGGTATTAGAATTTGGTGTTCTCAAAAGTGTCCGTTCGGAACCCAGAAAATAGGAGGGAACATTAATAAGATATTTGGAAGGAAAGAAAAATTGAGGAAATTTTTGGTTAAAACTCCATAAAACTCATCTACGTATTACTTATATTACTTGTGTACATTTCAATTTTATTTGAAACTCTTAAAAGTGCTATTCGAGTATGATTTTCCTTACATTCCTCCCTGGCATTTCCCGGGTCCAAACCCTCTTACTTGTTGGTCCTAAAAGTGGTAAGTTCCGTTCCTGCAGGATTCTTTTGAAGACGACAAGTCCAAGATTCTAATGATACTTTGTGCCAGCCCGGATCCAAAGGAGCTACACAAGACCATCTTCACTCTAGAGTATGGTGCCAAAGCAAAATGTATAGTTCGAGGTCCACATACACCGGTCAAGGAAAAAGACACAGAAGACTCCTCGCCTGCAGTTATTCTGAAATCAAGAATTGCAGCAATGGACCAGTTCATTAGCAGGTTACAAATGGAGAACAAGCTCCGGGAGAAAGAGTGTAAAGAAGCTCAGAAACAACTAATGAAGAAAGAAGAAGAAGTCGCTGCCTTAAGGGCGAAATTAATGGCATCAAAAGACAAGGTCTTGGAGAAAAGTGAGGAGGCAATAATCAACAATAAGGTGAGAGAGAGAACACAGAGGCTAAAGATGGAGCTTGAAAAGAAAATACAAGAATGCCAGAACATGGCGAATGAGTTTGTTGAAATCGAAAGAAGGAAGATGGAAGAAAGGATATTTCGGCAGCAAGAGGAGGTTGATTTGTTGAGAAGACGTCTCGAAGAGATTGAATCTCAACTCTGTTCTTCAAAAGGTGGAAACACTGAATTAGAAGAAAATAATGGCTTTACCAGACGTCTAGCCGAGCTTTACTCTGATGATGCTGCTGGAATGGTAAAGTCCATGGACTTGGACAAGTCCATTGATATGGGAACAGTAAGAACAACAAATGCAGTTCCAGGCTATTTCACCAATAAATTTTGTTTGAAAACGGTATTTGAGGAGGTAGCGGAAGAAGATGAAAGAAGTCATCAGTCGGATGAAGAAGTACAGAAAGAGGTTGTTGAGGAAAAGACAACCTGCTCCAACAACACATTGGTGGAACCCCAAGATTTTTCTTGCAAGTATTTGAGTGATCTTTTAGGGGAGAAGTCTGAAGAATCTGCACCTAATCTATTCACTGGTGAGAGTGAAGAAGTCAGGCAAAAAAGAATTCAGAATATCTTCACTCTCTGTGGGAACTATAGACAGCAGCAACCTAAGAAACAGGAAAATGTTTCTGTTTTCCATACTCCAGCAAAAACCATTCAAGGCAATTCAAAACGGTCTGGTAATAATCCGTCTTCTGTTCCAGAAAAGGATTTGAAGGAGAATTTCGATCCATCAAATGAAGACTGTGTTGGTGGTGATGGTTTGGTGGAAGTGTATGTTAAGTGGGAGGCATCAAAGGAAAATCCAGGGAAGCTTATTACCACAATCAAGGTTGCAAAAGAATCAACTCTTGCTGATTTGCGTAAGCTGATTGAGGTCCATCTTGGCCCTGCTTACCAGCCTTTCACTTTCCTTGCTCTAGGGGTAATGTTAATCACTGAATTTAAATTATACTACGTAGTTTCTTACTCAACTGTTACCTTTAAACTGTGAAGGGCTCGAAATACAAATAAGGAACTTCTAGAAATAGGAGTACAACATGAACTATAAAAAGGACTCATTTAGTCCCCCCAAAAAGAGGTTGGCGGGGCCCCATCAGGAATTATAAAAAGTGGCAGCGTTTGGAAAAAATGGCCCAGTAAAATAAATACTCCGTAGTTAACTTTACTTCTTTTAAGTAGTGAATGAGTCACATTTTCATGAAAATACAGCGAATGTCCAGTCCTATTTGAACAAATTTGCTATGTATTTGTAGTGTTAGTGTAATTTTCCCTTACATAAATTCCAATGTTTTGTTATGAATGAATATAAATTTAGGAGATGATTGACAATGTCAAAAGTCTTTACGCCAAAAGCGCATTTCTTTTCGGGTGCAGGACCCAACAGGCGCTCCAGTGCCCAGAGAAGAGGAAGTGAGAATGGCAACGATCAGACTTCCTGCTTGTAACAGCCAAGTAAACGGCCACCTGGCTTGCCTGCGCCCACAGGAGGAGGGAATACGGCAGCAGCGCACTCACCACCTCCCTTTGTGTTCACTGGAGAATTTACTCCCAGTAACTCCTCAGTCACAAATCAAGAAGCAGCAGCAGCAGCCGCTTGATCATTTTTCACCTCTTGTCAAATCCTCCACACCTTTTGTCACTGTTAAAAGATATCATAATTGATTACTATTAGTTCCATGCATGTGATATACATGCATTATTAACGTATAAGCGCTTTATATTATATAGGTAAGCTGGTAAGGATTCTCAGTTTACCATTCATACACATTTTGTGTTTAGATGATTGCCTATTTTCTTCACTCCCGATGTCCCAAGCTTTTAAGAAGGTTATCTTTTTTTGAAACCAAATTTTTGCATATTTGATACGTAGTATCTTATTCACTTGGCTTAGAAAGTATCCAAAAAAGTACGTTTGCATTTAAGAGAACATACACCGTAATGGCAATTTCTATGGTACCTTGAAGGTATGGTACCTTGATGGTATGGACCAATAAAAAAATTTCAATTGAATAATTTAAATGCAAATAAAATGTAAAACTTTGAGTTGGACCAATGAAATGCATCCTAGCTATGATACCCTCCTATTTTTGTTGGGTACCACAACAAGCACCTACTATAATATGCCTGAAAATACATCCAAGAAGAGAACCCAAAATTTTTGATATGCTATAAAGTGCGCAAATACTATAAGTTTCTTGGGTCCGTGTGCCAAACGCAGAATGAATTAATAAAACATGTGAAAACTGAATTACCAACACATTTAAATATAAAATTATATTCAACGGTCCTTTCGGGTAGGGACAACTTAAGTCTTAAAGACTCATTATGTAATTAAAAAAGCACAATTTTTTAATTGAATACTTTGTATACATTAAACACTTAGAATATTTATTGATTACTTACACTATTGGGCAACATCTTTACCATACTACATTACTTGAGCTCTTCAATGTGTTCTTTTGTTTGAGCTTTATGCATTTTATTAAATAAATGTACTCTGAATTTATTGAAAAAAATGATCTCCTAATTTTGTAGGCACTATGCAAAAGCCAATGTTTACAACGGACATTCTATGATATAACTTTCAAAGTGATTGTAAAACTAGTTCTATCGTGTGTACTCTCTTTTACACGGTCATACATAAACAATTATTAAAGTAAAACTATGTTTTTACATTTTTAGATGAATTGTCTGTGTATACGAACAAATGAGGGGTAACGTGTATAAAAAACATGTACAAATGGGGTGTACTCTAGGAATTTTCCAAACTAGTTACCACATTGCCAAATGCTCAACCTTGCCCTACTATTGTAAGTGTATTTTGAAAAAAATGTGTATATAGGATGGTAAGGTGTATGAATCATTGATTAAAATACTTCATTAACTTTTCTTTTTTATAGGTTTGAAGTTCACTCAAGGTTAAAAATTGATGGGGATAAATATGGTCCTGACTCATTCCAAATTTAAAAAATGCTTAATTTTTAAGATAAGAAATTCCGTGTATTTTTTCCTTCTCAAAGATATTCTTTGTACCGGCTCAGTTCGATCCAGTGTCCTGGCTCCGCCCCTGTGCATAATTTGTATATTAAGAGGGGCTTCGTCAATTTTGCCCGTCACCCGTTATTACCCAAATTCATAAGTTTTTAAAATATATATAGTTATAAAATAAAACCACACATGAGTGATTGTACTAAATTAAATTCTAAATTGATAGTAAACAACAATCATAGAATTAAATTGAACGGACATTAATTATATGGCAAACATATTGTCTAATCTGCACACATACATAACTTGAAATGAAAAAATATACACATCTTTTTTTGAAAACAAATAACTTAATTATTATTAATAAGAGTATCAAGAAACATAACAATCAAAAGCTGAAACATTACATTCATAGCGTTTAAAGCTACACTAGGGTGAGACAAAGAAAAAAAACATATAAAGGCGCTCCTGTTCGCTAACCCCGCAATGATGTAGACTAGTACCGCAGTGTGAATGCTCATGCTACTCAAAATGGATAGGGTTTAACCAGCCACCGAAAAGAAACTATTGAATTTCTCGATTTTGCCACCCACCGGTAAGGAGCCAAGTGCAGAATTTGTTCCGGTTTCACTAGCCACTAGAAAGAAAACAATCCATGCAATCCCATCTTCCTAGATCAGGCTGATTAGCCGTGGTTCAGGAGGGGGGCGTCTGACCTCAATATCGATGTAGAAAAAATCCAGATCCATTATTGATGAAGAAGTCGCTAGATATCTATTACTAGCACACAATAACACTTGACCGATGATTGCGTGGATTATGCATCTAGCAGACGATAATTGGCCATCGAAAATAACATCTCTAGACAACGCTAGAAAATAAACATATATATAGAATTGAAAATAGTGATTAAACAGATCTTTTTTCATAAATGAAGCCAAAAGAATTGAAGAATAGAGGAAAAGAACAGGAGGCGACAACATGGGTTTCCCCTCCGCTCCTCTCTCTAGACCGCATAGTAAGTATATATTCCTTCTAAATTATTTGTAGTGATAGGGGTTTAGGAGTTCAAAATGATGTATTCACATCTTCTCAGGAGTGGAGACAGGGAGTGGCTGAAGGGGGACCTCGGCCCCTGCATGAAAAAATTCTTAGGTATACATTATGTATAAATACTTTTAATCTATAGAAAATATGTTGATCTTTTAAACTTTGGCTCCTATAATGTAAAATTTTTAAAGACAGACCCCTTAACTATTGATTTCTGGCTCCGCCACTGCATCTTATTGAGTAATACTATTTCAAAATTTCATTTATGGAAAACGCATCGTTTAATATCGAATCTTTATTTTCTGGATAAATTCTAAGTCCACAATTTCTACTTATTTTTATCTGTACATTCATAATTAGACAAAGCGAAATATTATAAAGTAAATACGGAATATATATTTCCGCCTCTAGGTGAGGACCTGAGATGTTTTAAGAAATTAGAAAGCACGATGAACTTTATGCTTATACACATTTTTTTTATCCATAGAATGTCAAATGGTTTTCTGTAATAGGTAAATATATGAAGTGCCCGAAAGAAAGTAACAATTTTGTATACAATAGGCATCATAATAATTATTAATTCTGAATAATAGAAAACTATATGATGATAGTACGGAGTAATTAATGATTATGATTTCATTAGGTAAAAAAGTTAAAGGACAGAAAAATGTTTATTTTTATATGATGATGGTAATCTTTCATTAATTAGGGTATACGTAATTAACAATTACCATATATGTATTCATATACAATTTTATACGGTGTTTCAAATATTATAGAGAAAGTAAAAAAACACATAGCTCTATACTACTTCCGATAATTTAAACAATAATTAAATAATGTAGTTAGAGTGTATTTTGAATGTGTTAATGACTCAAATAGGACTAATAGAAAAATTAATTGCACATTTAGGATCACTAACGAAACACAACTTTCATAGGACCAATTTCAGTACAATTGGACAAAAATACCCCTCTTTGAATTTTTTAAATTTTAAAACTGTAAAATAAAAAATTATTGAAACCCTAGAAGTAGCACTGCCGCCACCAGAGCTAAACCGCCTGCCGCTACCCCTCGCCGACGCAACCTGCCGCCACCCCTCACCGGTGCAACCTGCCGCCGTCCTCTCCGGCGGCACCGCCCCCTATTGCCGCCCTCGCCGTCTACCATCTGCCACCGCATCCTTGCCGATGCATCGTCGCCGCCCCTTGCCGCTGCACACACCAGCGTCGTCATCTATGCCATCACTATCTGACCAGCGTCACCATCCACCCAAGCCACCCATCATCTGAGCACCGCCACAACAGTGACAACTCAGGCGGAATAATCTGCCATTAACTTGGCAGATTTAGCATTGAGGATTAGATTCACTTCTGCCATGAACAAGTGCTTCAGATCTGCCAAAAAAGTTGGCAGATTCAACCTGGCATCAATCACACAAAATTGCCATAAATTTGGCAAAAAAACATGAAGTAAATAACCAAATATTCAAACAACTAAATTTTTTAATGGAACAAGCATTTTAACACAACCACAAATTAGAAAAACGAAGCTATTGACAAAAAAACAGAAAAACCAATTTATACCAAAGCATTTCTTCCATAATATGATTGTAAATGTACACATTTTTGCCATTAACTTGGCCAAATCTGAAGCAATAATTCAAAAATTTATGAAAACCGTTTTTTAACTCTAAAATTAAAAACCAGAAAATCGAAATAGAAGTCTGAAAAACTGGAAAAATTAATTCAAAATTAAGAAAAAATGGAGGAAAATCGAGAAGAAGAAGAAGAAGAAGAACAAGAAGAAGAGACAGAGGAAGAATAAGAAGAAGAAGGATGGAGGAGAACCTTAGTGGCAGCGGCGTACGGAGAAATTGGCTGAAGCGGCGGCATGAGAGAGAAATTGATCTTGTGTGAAGGGTGAAAATCGGTGGCGGCGGGGATGGCTAGGGTGAAGTCGATCGATGATGCGCAGTGAAGGAAGAGGTGAAGCAATTGTGCGCAGAGAATGGGGAAGCGGTTGTGCGTAGGGGAGAAGATAGATGAGCGTAAAAGGGATAAATGAGTAATAATGGAATAAAATACGGATGTTTTCAAATAGGACTAAAATAGTCCTATTTAGGAAAAAAATCATACATTGTCTTATTTGAGAATTTCTCTCCTCTTTTAGTCCTATATGGGGCAATTACTTATTTTGAATTTGTTATGAGTATATAACATAATAAGGCTATTGATGATAATTGTGATGTTATAGCTAGGTGTATGATTTCAATATTTGATGGTTAATTTATTATTTAAGAGTGCTAATTATTTTCTAAAAAAAATGAGAATGTTTAGTAGAGTGGTAAATAGGGAGTATAATACAGGTGAAAACAACAAATATTTTACTATAAAAGGGCACATCATTAACATATTACAGTTGGAGTGAAGGAACAATAATAGCATTTCCTTGATTAATTACACATTCACGACATCTACCCCCACCACCAACCTTCTCTCTCCATAATGACCGTTTCATGAATTTAACTCAATGGTCTCAAAATCATAATTAATTAATACGGAGTAAAACGTGATCAGGTTAAGACGATCGATATTTTTTGTTACTAATCAAGTCCTTCATATCAGACGATTAGAATGGGTTTCAAAAATATTCATCTTGCACTAGCCAAGGCCATGGTATGAATATAAACATTACGTACTTGCAATCACAAATCAACATGTATGTGTTTATGAGCTAGCTAGCTAGATGGATTCATTTATTTATTTATTTATTTGGCTTTGATTTGAAGCTAAGGCTGTGCTTTTGATGGGTACATATGTTATGTATGAATAGGCAGGCCAGATGCGG